GAGATGCCTCATTGCATATAATAGACAGGTTCCTAGGAACTATGGCAAATTCCACTGTTGTACAAAGATGGAGACATCCATTTAAAGGAATCTTGCCAGGGTACTTCCCTGTAAACAGAGGAGTCCTTTAGTCATATGGATCATTCCTACTTTACTATCTTGTGAATTGAGGACTTTCTAATCTTCTTCCTCACCCTCACCATTATCATTTTCTTCACCATTATCATTACTACCATTACCATCATTACTATTTACGATCACTTTCATCAGCTCCATCAACACCATCATCATCACCACCATTAGCACCATCACCATCATCATCATCATCATCGATAACACCTAAATTGTGCGAGGCCCTATTTTAAGTTACTTCATATGTATTATCCCCTTTAATTCTATAAGTACTTTATCCCTCCTTTTTCAGATAGGAAAACTGAGACACAGAGAGGTTCAATGACTTGTCAAGTATCACACAGCTGGTAAGATCTGCAGCGGAATTCAAACTCAGGCAATTTAGTTCTGGGTCCCTGCAGTTAATGACTAAGCTATCCATCCTTGGTAACAAGTTTGTTGTAAGTATTTTTATTGTTTTTTTAAGAAACCACCTATATTTTGTTAAAGAGACATACCAGATAGATAAATAGATATAGACATATATAGATCAAGTATATCTGCCCAAGAATAAACTCCAACCCGCGGTCAGTCTTCAGTAATGGACAATTTAATTCAAATCCTCATCTGACCACTGACCAGTTACACAATCTTGGGAAAAGTTATTACCTTATTTGGGGGTCTCAATTTTCTATCTCTTTGATTATATCAGATAAACTTAAAGATCTGAAACAGGTGGCCCGCAGGACAATTTGACCACAGATGTTTTATTCTCGTTGTTTTAAGCAGACTTTTTAAAAAAAATTTAGGCTAACTGCAAAACATTTCAAATCAGAAAACTTCATATAAAAATTTGGATTTCTGGCTACTCTTAAAAAATCAGAAAATATGGCAGCCCTGCACCCATATTCCTGCATCAGAACACCCGCAAGAGTTGGGGAGGAGCCAGTCTTGGGATAGGGTCTGTGTGTTTCAGTTGGCCACCGTCTCCATGCAGCCCACATCTCTCCTAGGTTTCTCTGTCTACCACTGGATGATGTTCTCTCCAGATATCTGATTCCAAGCCTTCCCACAGTAGGATCACCAAGGAACTCCAAGAAACCTGAAACCCCACAGCTCTGTCCAAATTTTAAAGGCACATCAACAAATGTTAAGAGAACGTGATGGGAACAAGCAGATTCACTTAAAGAAAACATCTGACAATATGATCAAAACATTATGTTCCAAGCATTTCAAAAAAGAGACCTAGTTACGTTCAACAAGGTGAGTATACTTAATACAACTGAAGCATACACTTAAAAATGGTAAAGATAATTTAAAAATAAAAGATCTGACTTAAAAAAAGAGAGATCTAGGTATGTAAATAAGTACCTACTAGTAAACTGGTTTTTTGAATGGATAATTGATAAATGATATTATGATTTAAACGGGTTTTTTCCAGAACCAAAAACAAGAAATCAATGAAATGTAAACTTTAAGTGATTAACACACACAAAGGTATTTAGCTAGGCAACTTCTAAACACAAAGAAGCCCTTAGGACAGTGGTTCTCAACCTTCCTAATGCCACGACCCTTTAATACAGTTCCTCATGTTGTGGTGACCCCCAACCATAAAATTATTTTCGTTGCTACTTCATAACTGTAATTTTGCTACTGTTATGAATCGTAATGTAAATATCTGATATGCAGGATGTATTTTCATTGTTACAAATTGAACATAATTAAAGCATAGTGATTAATCACAAAAACAATATGTAATTATATATGTGTTTTCCAATGGTCTTAGGCGACCCCAGTGAAAGGGTCGTTTGACCCCCAAAGGGGTTGCGGCCCACAGGTTGGCGACCCACAGGTTGAGAACCACTGCCTTAGGACCAAGTTCATGCCTCTATGAACTTGGGCATTTGAAATTTGATCATATGAGTGATTTAAATCAAAGACTGGTTTTATTTTAACTGGTTTCACATCACTTGTAATTCTTAAGGTGATGGGGGGGGGAAGGATTCAACTGTTGGTGTTTATTATATACAGTACAGTTTCTGAGCAATTGCCAGGAAAAGCTCATTCCATAGGAATTTGCCCTTCTAATAAGAAAATACTGGTGGGGCCTACTATATACAGTTATGTATACAAGTTCAGTTCATGTGTGAGACATTTCAGCCCCACTAAGTTCTCCCCACTACAGCTAAAGTTATATTACCCATCTATATATCCATATATGCATTTATAGATATATCTACCCACTCATTTGTAAACCCACCCATCTATCCATCCATCCATCCATCCATCTACTCACTAGTCTATCCATCCATACATCTACCGAACCATCCATGTACCAACTTATCCATTTATCTAGCTGTCTATCCATCCACTGATCTACCTACCCTTCCATCTCCCAGCCACACAACACATCCATCCACCCATCTATCCATCCATCCATCCATCCACCCATCACACACACACCCACACATCCATCCATATCTCTCTCTCTCTTTGTATTTATCTTTTTTTAAAAATATGTTTTTACTGATTTTTAGAGAGAGGGGAAGGGAGAGGGAGAGAGAGATGGAAACATCAATGAAAGAGGAACATCAACATTGATCGGCTGCCTCCTGCACATCCCCTGCCAGGATCGAGCCCGCAACCCAGGCATGTGCCCTGACCAAGAACCAAACCAGTGGCTTCCTGGTGCATAGGTCAACATTCAACCACTGAGCCACACCAGGCAGCTGTATTTATTTTTAATAGATAATACATTTATGAACTGGATTTTTTCAAATTACACAAAATGGTATACTGTGAAAAATAAGCCTTCTTCCCTGAACTCAAAGACCCCCATTCCACCCCACAGGCAAAACTACCATTGCTAACACCTTGTATATTCTTCTAGATTATCTTCCAAATAGTGTATCTATTTTGCCTCCCTGAAAGGTACAATAATACATACATGTTCTTTACCTTACTTGTTTTACTTAACTAATATTAGAAACTGATCTTTACCAATAACATAGATCTGCTTTATTCTTGATAGCTTACTTTTATTTTTGAACAAAGGATGAGAAAGGCCATCTTCCCATTCTGGTCCCTAATCCCTCAGTTCCTCTCTCTAGAGGAATTTTATGTTTCTATGTATCCTTCCAGAACATACCTTATGCATATATAACAAAAATACTATATAATAAAAGGCTAATATGCAAATTGACCGACGGTAGCACAACAGGACCCTATGACATGCACTGGCCACCAGGAGGCAGACACTCAACGCAGGAGCTGCCCCCTGGTGGACAGTGCGCTCCCTCAAGGGGAGCACCACTCAGCCAGAAGCCGGGCTTATAGCTGGCGAGCAAAGTGGCGGTGGCGGGAGCCTCTCCCACCTCCAGGGCAGCACTAAGGATGTCCAACTACTGGCAGTGGGTCTAAGACTGCAGTCAGACATCCCCCGAGGGCTCCTGGACTGCGAGAGGGTGCAGGCTGGCTGAGGGATCCCTGCCCCCGCCATGCACGATTTCATGCACTGGGCCTCTAGTAATATATATTTTCTGTTATCAAATGGAAGGAAGCGTACTCCATTTACTGTCCTGTATCTTGCTTTTGCTTTTTTTTCTCTTAATAATAGGTCTTAAAGACCATCCTGCACTGCACATGAACAGTTTCTTTCATCTCTGTGCTGGCTGATTTATACTCCACTGTAGGACTTGACTTTACTTACTTAGTCTCCTAATGACTGGGCATTGGGTTGCTCTTACAAACAATGCAGCCTGGAATAAATAACTGGTACCTGCCTCACATTACACACAAAGACGCTTATTTGTAAGGTCACTTTTTAGAAGTATACTTGAAAAAACAAATTTAAAAAATAAATAAATAAAAGCACTCTGGTGCTGAGCGGAAAATTCATAGACTTTAATATGTGTGTTAATATATGGGACAGATCTGATTGCTCTCTCTCCTCCAATGGCTCCCTATTGCCTTTGAGAGCTGATCCCTGCTACGGTTCATGAGGCCTTCCACATTCAAGCTCCATCTGTTCCTTCTACAGTTTCTCCTGCCCTTTTCCCCAATGTGTCAACTGAGGCATTCACTCAAATAAGCATTTGCCAGGCATGTGTCAGACACTGCTCAAGGCACTGGAGACTCAGGAAGGCCACGGTCTCTGCCCAGCTGATGGACAAATGAGTGGTTCTTTGGCATATCTCTTGCTAGATGGTCTCCCTGGAATGTCTTTCCATTACAACAAACTCCTATTCATCCTTCAAAACCCAACTCAGGTCCCTCCTTTAAGAAGCCTTCCCCCTCACTCCCCAAACCATGAGACAGCCTCTCCTCCCCTGCAATGGTTTTCTCATATGTCTGTCAACATCTCTGTCCTGCAAGGGCCATGGCAGGACCTCCGTGCCAGGTGCTGCTGTATTTACCTGTGACTACTGTCCTGCTACCCAGCAGGCCCCAGAGGTTATTAAGTAAACAAGTGGCCCAAGCCATGCCCCACCCCCAGGCATTAGTTCCTACTTTACTTTTTAAAAAATAAAAATCCATCCAAGTACAACCTAGCACTGATCCCTGGCTTTCTGGTGGAGTGAATAGGGATTAAAATTTAGGCCCTGACCTTATGTGAACCTGGGCAGGTCACTTAACTACAAGTAGCAGATACTAATAATTAGTAACAGTCACCACTTCTCCCACAAGCACTGCCCAGAGTCAGGAAGCTTAAAGGACAAAGAAGAGCTGAAGTGAAGAAGTGAGCAAGAGGAAATGGGGGATCTAAGGATGCAGGGCCCAGGAAGGAGCGGTCACAGAAATGCTTAGCAAAGGAAGGCGGTGACTCTTCAGAGGGCAGCTTCCTGCTCAAAGCCGGATGCCCGGGCCCTGACCCAGAGGGCGGAGATGGAGCCAGGAAGGAAGGGGGAGCATGAAAAGGGGAAACAGGATTGTGAACATGAACTTTCACTGCTGCAGAACGCAGCCAACGCAGCTGTCCCACCCCCAGGGCCCACACGGTCTGTCGCTGCTCCTACCCAGCCAACGGTGTCCCTGACCACAACTGTCACAGGAGCAAAGATAAGAGTGTTGGGGACCTTCTGCATGTTCCCCGCCGGCTGGGACCTGGATGTCTCCACTGTCCAAACTCCCGGAGACAAGCGGTGTGGGCCCCTCTCCCTCTGTTTGGTGTTTCCGGGGTGAGGGGGGGC